GCTCATAAACGAGTTGGCGCTCCGTATTTTAAAGGCTGAGAGCTTCATTCCGTGTTATTGTCTGGATTTGAAATATTGCAGGTGCATGTTGAGTGCAGAGAGATATTTTGCAGCATGCTTACACACACTGATAATGTTTAGAATGAGTCTCTAGGTCAGAAGGTCTGAACAAGATGTCCTTAACCAGACCTTAGAATCAGTAGAAGAATAATGGATAACATTACATAATGAAGGCTACTCAGGGTGTGTTTTTGTGTAAAAGTCTCTCTGACAGGTGGATGGCAACACAGTTAACTGTGGCTGTCTGCTCGGCTTCACCTCAGCTAACCAGAGTCCCTGAACTGCACCTCTGGACCATGTTAATTACATCTTCTGACCAATAACACATCTCCTGTGAGGTTACAGTAAATACAGCGTCAGTTCAGCCTACAATAACTTTAAATCGGGGGCCACCTGCTTCCTCCAGCACCCTTTAAATGGTCTGAGGTTCCTGTGTGAACTTGTTCGCCTAACTGGAAGTTAAACGTCACTCAATTAACTGCAGAGTATGGCTGACAGATATTAGTACATGAGGTGTGCATGTATAAGTAGTAATGAAACATGAAATGGTGTTAAAGAAGCAAACGTCAGCTGTGAGCGCAGTGCCTGTTTCCTGTTTTTGACCCTGTGCAGCACAGACACCACACTTGGAAAATCACCAGAGCCATGTTTGCCTTGGAGCTTTAGGTCCAAACAAATCAAAGTCTGCCTTCTTCGGAGGACATGTGTGGTTAATGAGTGACACGCTGGACAGATGGCCTCCATCACTGGGACCGTGCAGATGTGTCACACCAGCAGGCCTTCTGACTAATCACTGCAGGTGATCAGAGACATTCGCACATTATCTGATGATCTTTGTTCATGTCATCATTCTCCATGTTTGCTGAGGCAGGACAGCCTCAGCAGAAGAACCAGGCTGGGCTGAGGCTCCGAATCAGCCCACAAACACACACACACGCACACACACACACACACACACACACACAGAGTATTCTACCGCCAGCAAGGTTATAACAGGGTTGTTATAAGTGGTGTGTGTGTGTGTGTGTGTGTGTGTGTGTGTGTGTGTGTGTGTGTGTGTGTGTGTGTGTGTGTGATGAGTGTGATGTGACCTGCCGGCTGGTGTCACTTGGACTCTTGAAGCAGCTGCTCGGCTGATCTCTGCTCAGTCAGAGAGGTGCGCGCACGGGAGCGCGCTGACACCGAACCGGCAGCTCGATGTGAAACGCGCACGCGCGTCGGCGGCTCTGCACTGTCTTAAAAATAACGGCCACGTCTCCTCCTCTGACCGAATCACGCAAAGAGTGCGGTGTCGGCGTGCGCGAGCGTGCCGTTAAGCGTATGGGCGAGGCTCACCGTAGATCATCGCCAGCCCGGTCTCGTGCAGGAAGCGGACCCGCCGGTGCTTGAAGAGCCAGATGGTGAGGATGGTGAGGGTGAGCAGCAGGATGAAGGTCAGCATGTTAAAGCTGTCCTGCCGGTGGCTCTCCTCCGCCTCCTTCTCCGTGGCCAGCTCCTCCATCGCGAAGTCCTCCGCGCGCATGCCCTGTCCCCAAGCACAGCTCAGGAGGATCCATGCGGCCATCATCTCTGCGCCATCAGCTGAGCCTCTGACGAGCGCGGCGAGCACCGAGGAGGTCTCTCAGTCACTGCGCCTGCGCTGTGACGACCGCGCAGCTGAAAGCGGGCTGAGGCAGAGGAGGAGGAAGCTGCTCACATGATGTGTCTGCAGTGGAAGCAGCTGCACCACCTACTCCACCCCCCAGTGTCCAGCGTGAAAATACAAGGATCGACTTTTTCTCCTCCTCTTTAATCCTACCCGCCCCCAACACCGTTTATGAAACAGGTGTAAACACAATAAACATGATAAAACTGTATGCAGTCAATTATCACATTTCCACTGTTAGTTGAAATTTTCACTCCTTGACGTGAGCTCGGTTCTCACACTGATCATCGAGGTCCACCTCCCCCCACCACCTCTACCCGCAGCCTCCATCAGTCCCTTCCTTACTACCAGTTAGATACATAGGTCGTTATGACTGTGGATTGTGGATATGGAGCTGGACTGCGGCTTTTATGTAATACCCTTTTAAACCACAAGATGGCGCAGCGAGTCACTGTAAAGCTACCCAAGGGAACTAAAGGGAGGGGCTAAAGAGAATGGCCGTTTCTCAGCACGCGTACTTGCGTTCTTGCAAAGGAGAGTGGCTAAAAAGTTTGAAATATGACTCTATCTGACACAAAATCAACTTTTAAGATATTTTCAGGTGAGAACTTCTGACTGGTATGGCGTTATTTTGTGCCTCTATTGTGAGCGCACATAAATAATTTTTGCAAGTGCAAATGTTGCATTTTGAGGAAGAAATATTTTGAGTGAATAAAAGCTTAATTTGAGCGAACAAAATTTATTGCTGCATGCAAGAAATGTATTTCAGTGTTTGCTATTATCCATATACACAACAGCCCCTCTCACTCAGTTCACCTTTATAAATGTGCCACAAAACCAACCAATCACAGACTTTGATGCAAAAATTGTGATTGGCTCCAATCAGCTAGCTAGCTACTGCATTCTCGAAACACTGTCCATAGTGTAGCTCAACCCATTTAGAGTTAGTATGTTTAATTATTTTATTTTAAAATATATAATTTTTAAGACCATTGTTGGTTTTAATCTAGTTTAAACCAAACCACTCCACTGGATTTAGCTACATTTTGGACAGTGTTTCCAGAATGGAGTAGCTAACGAGCTGATTGGGGACCAAACAGCCAATCACAATTTTTGCATCCAAGTCTTTCATTCATTGTTAATGTTAATGTTTGGTTTATTTCAGTTTTTTATTTGTTCCTGTGCTTTCTGTGTAACTGTATGAAGCCTAGTAGACAGGTTGTAATTTTTTATATAATGTGTAATTTCCATTGCAAATATTAAACAAACTCTGGAGTTGTGATGTCATCAAGTACAGTGCCATTCCAATTGTAGAATGATTGCGTTATGTTCTTGGGAAGTATGGACTCCTGTGTGAACTTACTAAGTATGGACTAGCAAGAATGCAAGTATAGACTTGCGTTCTTGAGTACTGAGAAATGGCCAATATAAAAACTTTAGACAGCAACACACTCTGAAAATGTTACAGATGCTGCCCCTTGGTGGTCAAAGTTTCAGTCAGTGTCTGCAGAAGGTCACTGCGAAAAGCACCTTTAAGGAAGCAAACAAGCAAGCAAGCAATCAGAAAGCAGGTTTTTGCTTCCTTTTAATCTTATCCAGCACTTTCTTTTATTATTATTGTGCATATATTATTCATTTTCAATCTTCCTGGTTTTTACAAATTGACGGGTAAATGAATGTGGCTGTGTTTTTGTGTGAGTGGGAGTGGAGGGTCCTACTCCTTCTTTGCATATTTGATTATATCATTCTGTTCATTATTATTCTACACAGCTTATAGTAGTAGGTAGTCACTCCTTGGCTATCTGAGAAATCTGGAGCTGTTTCCTTGAACTTTCTGCTTTTGTGTGAATGATGCTGAAACTGAACTTCTATAATTCCTCCTGATGCACAGGGTTCCCAGCATCTCTACTCCAGCAGGCTGCAGGCAGAACAGGAGCTACAAAGACATCGGCTAACCTCATGCTACTAGATTACCACAATAAACTGGAGTAATATGACACCACAAGACCTAAAGAGCATGGGACTTCCTCCCATGTGGATGAAAGTGTAGTGGACACATTAAACAATGTCAGCTCATTCCTGGAATTAAAATCTATCCGCATAGCGATGTTTTAGAAAAAAACAATCAAGGCCTACAATAAGACAGAGAAAACCCAACAATGATATGAGCCCTGATGAGCAAGCGCTTTGGCCACAGTGGATCAGAACCTGATCAGAACTTGATCCAGTGAGCCATTGATGGGCTTTGATCAGTGGTCATGACAATTTGTATATTAATGATCAATTAATGAGAGAAGCTTCAGCAGGGAGAGGAGAATTACCTATAATTACAGTGGCCTGTGGCTTAACTTGCAGGCTAATCTGTCGCCAGCGTGTGTGTGTGTCTGTGTGTGTGTGGTTTTTGGTTGCGCACAGTTAGACCTCAGCACATAAACATGGCGGCCTCAAAGCAGCAGCTTTGAACTACATGATTTTCATGTCAGCGGTAATTATTTACATCACAATAATATGTTTGTGGAAGCTGCTTTCTGGTGTGAAGGAAGCAGCCTCAGGGGCGTGGCCTGGTGTCACTGCTGCTGCCTTTGCAGTACTCTGTAAAAATAAGAGTTTTTAGTTTTCAACTGGGTGGATGCTGCCCACCTCTGCTTAGGTGTAGATGTGGAGCTAGAAACATTTTCTTAGGGTGGCAAAATCACAGTCATTTCTTTACACATATGCAGGTGTTACATCCTGTAATATGCATTATATATGGTTAAAATACAGTAAGTGCAAACATGTTTCTTATGAACATAGTCTGCAAATTTCTTACTTTCTGTAGCCCAGATAATTAAACATTTCAGTTACATAAAAGATGTGAATTTTGATTTTATATACTGTATAGCCTGGATAATAAGTTTAAAATCCAGAAGGCTACACAACATAACGTGGTTTGGTTAGAAATACAAGTCTAAGTGAAGTTTCACACTCTTTTGTTACAAATAATCAAATTGTTATATGCTCAAATTTACAAAAAATGTCAGAAATCTGCACCGTGACAAAAAACATCAAATCAGAGTAGAAACAATGTAATTAATAAATTAAATAATTTAATACATAAATCATGAATTAAATGGCCATTCATTCCATCTAAAACATTTAATAAATTGTGTAATATGTATTTCCAATTGTAATTAATAAATAACATATTTAATGATTTATTTAATTAATTAAATATTTCATTTTAGAGCTTCTGGCCTTCCACACTCTTCATGTGCGTGTTTCGCAAACATAAATCAGAGTTAGACTGGTTCTGAGCTCCTTTTTCCTACTTGTCCTTAAACGTCTTGTGAACGTGCCCCTTGTGAGCGTGGTTTCGTCACTATGCTCACGTCTGTGATTGGCTGACACAGCGACCCTCGGGGTTTCGATTGGTTGCGAAACGAAGCCGTGAAACGGGAAGCTGAAAAATACCGAGCCAAGCGAAGAGTTCGAGCCTGAGCTTCGGCCGCATTAACCGCGTTCTCCGAGCACACAAACCCGCTCCCGCTTTCCCCGTCGTTTCGAGGCCGCCATGGGCTGCTTCTTCTCCAAGAAATCCAAGAGAAAGTCGCCGGAAAAAGAGGAACGGGCGCCGACCACAACCTCCGCCGAAACTGCGTCGACGGGCAACGCGGTTCCCCTTGGCAACAACAGCGAGGAGGCTCCGAAGCAGTACAGCTGGGACAAGCGAGAGAAGGTAAGCAGCACCGGGACACACCCACAGCCAGGCTTTAGCGCAGGTAGATCACACCTGGCAAAAGACGCCGGAAATAGCCCTCTCAGGTCACCGACATTTCTGTTCCTGTCGTTGTTCACAGCCAAAACAGCCAGATGTGAATGTGTGAATTTAAACGAAACTTTATGTGTTACCTGTTACAGCTGCAAAAAAATTAAAGACAGCAGCTCGAAGCTGAAAGCAGAATAATAAGCCCAACAATTAAAAATGCAGAAGAAAAAAAACTTACACTTGAACTCAGTTTGCATGCATCTAATTAAAAAAAGCCACATGATTTAAATAAATTCATCAAAAAATAACAATAAACTCTGTGTATGCTAAATAAAATGCCATACCATGTCCTTATGAAAGGGAAAATAACTCAGCTGAGCAAAATAAAGAATAAGAAGTGTAATGTGCACAGGTCCAGCTGGAGCTCCACAGCTAAAAATGGAAAAAACACAGTGAGATCAGCAAGTCATGAAACCAAGTCCACAAACAAAAAGCTTCAATATATAAAAACGGCTCCATTATGTATACATATTCGTTTAGGGAAAACCAGAAAATACAAGAGATGAATAAATACATCAGAATGTTGTTGGAAAAGCTCATTATAAAGTTCCAGTTGCCTACGTAAAGCTCCAGGTCATATGTTAATCAACAATAATCTTTGCTCTCATTGGTAGTCTCCCTTTCTCTCCTCAAAATAGAGAAAAGTTTAATGTGTCCATCCTCGTAGTGTCTGTGGCATTCAGTTGCCAAGTCACTTCCTGTTTGGATAGAAGTGGTGACACACACAAAAAATCAGAATAATCGGAACAACTGCATAAAAAAGTGTGGGCCTAGCACCGAACATCGTCACATGATCATCCCTGTGATGTCACATATCTGTCAGTCTCAGTGATGATAATAGTGACGTTATCTGCACTGACGGTGCTTTCGTGGGCTCCTGTTGTTCTGGAAACATGTTTCCTGCTGTTCGCCAGCCAAAGATTCAGCTTCACGTGTTCGCTGTGAGCCGAGCAGCGAGCTAAGACAGCATGGCTCAGGCACCCCCACCCCTCCCTCCTGCAGCCGGTGTTATCTGATTATCAGATTTACTACCAAACGGCATGTGGTTCACGTGCACCCCTCTCACACATTAAAGCTGCGGTGTTACCCCACAGGAGGTCACACCTTTAAAAGTGACAACCAAAATATCCACCAACCATAAACCAGCTTCAGTTTGCTGCAGGCTCAGAGGGATGTGGTGTCAGAGTCACACATCTCAGATATCTGAACGTGTGACAGGGTCGAGTTTTGGGACCGATATTAGCTAAAAACACATATTTGTGTAGATATATCAAACAAGCATGCTTTAGAAGCTGATGAACCAGCGTCGTGTCTCAACATCACGCACAGTTGAGCAAGGAGCCAGTTTTAGGTTGTGCGTGCTGCTCTTTGTTAGCAGCAGTGATGGGAATAACGACGTTACTAACGGCGTTACTTTTTTCAGTAACGAGTAATCTAACTAATTACTATTTCTATTGTTACAACGCTGTTACCGTTACTAACAAGAAAATGCGGTGCGGTCGCGTTACTTTTTTTCAACAAACAGACGGTTAAAGCTGTCTTCAGCTTACCGCACCTTATATCAGTTGCACGGAAGTAGCTGACTACGTAAGTAATCTGGGCACTGCTGCTTTGAGCAATGACATTTGGTTGTTTAGGAAGAGGGGGAAGTTTTAGGAGCGACAGTGAGAGAGAGAGAAAAAGAGAGTGAGTTTTGAGATGTGAGAGATTTGTGACGTTTAGCATGTTTGGAGTTTGTAGTTAATGTGTTGTCTTGTGTAGTTGGTGTGTAGTGTTGTGGATAGTTTTGCGTTGTGTGTCAGAACAATGAGGCGACTGCTGAATGAAAACAGGAAGAATGATACACCTCCTGCTTTCAGACCTACTGGTATCAGGATGTGATGTTCTCCTTTATAGTGGACAGAAATTATTTCTTGGAGTGGTACAGATAATTTGTGTGGCATCTTATTGAATGCAGAACACCTGATTGTTATGTAAATAGTTTGAAATGGTTATTTTAAAAAGGGTAAAAGGTAAATGGCTGCAAGTAACTTTGTTGTTTGCAAAACTCGTGCATATGATTTTAAAATTGACAATTTATATTTTCATTTAAAGTTATGAAATATGATTCAATAAACATGTTTGTGGTTGTTACAGTAAAAAAATATAAATTTTTCTACTCGGATTTTATGTTTTATGTCTGATTTTAGATCAACTGTGTTAATACAGTATGTCAAAATGAAAACATAACTGTAAATTCAGACACATGAGGTTGTGCTGAAAAGAATGATACCAAACAAGGCAAAGTAAATAGTTTTTAAAGGTGAAATGTAGAGGGAAAATCAAAAGTAGTTAAAAATGGCCAATTATACCCTGGAATTTTGTAACTCAGTTACTAACTCAGTTACTTTTTTGACGAAGTAACTAGTAACTATAATTAATTACTTTTTCAAAGTAACTTGCCCAACACTGGTTAGCAGCAGCAGCCTGCTGCAGAAACACATCATCGTTCTTTAGTTGAATATGACACAAATGCCAAAGATGACACAACGTGAAATAAAGTAGTACTTCTGGTCCAGCTGATTCCCACACATCTGTTAGCAGCGTGTTTTTAACTCTCAGACTTTGCTTTCGGATCTTTAATGGTCACAGAAGGGTTAAAAATGGTGTCTCTGTGCATCCGTAAAAGTGTGAACCGTGTTGAATCCTCTGTTCTCTCTGCACAGGTGGACCCGAAGGACTACATGCTGACCGGCCTCAAAGACGTGACGGTGGGCCGTCTGCCCGGCAAACTGAATGGTCAGCAGTTCGTCATCCAGGAGTGCGAGAACTGCAACATCTATGTGTTCGATCACTCGGCGACCATCACCATCGACGACTGCGTGAACTGCCGCATCGTTCTGGGGCCCATCAAAGGCAGCGTGTTTTTCAGGGACTGCAAAGACATCAAGTGTGTGGTGGCATGTCAGCAGTTCCGCACACGAGACTGTAAAAAGATGGAGGTGTTCCTGTGCTGTGCCACCCAGCCCATCATCGAGTCGTCCACGGGGATGAAGTTCGGCTGCTTCCAGTACTACTACCCCGAGCTCGCTTTCCACTTCAAGGACGCAGGGCTGAGCATCTTCAACAACAACTGGAGCAACATCCACGACTTCACGCCCGTGTCCGGGGAGACCAACTGGAGCCTGATGCCAGAGGATTCACCCGTTCTGGATTTCGTTCCGGCACCAGACCCTGAGTCCGATTTCAAGTCAGTGCGAGTCTCCGCCGACCCCGCGCGAAGCATCGTGCCACTGACAAAAGGTGGAAGGTACAAGGACAGCGAGGAGTCCTGCCTCTTTGTCTTCTTCGCTGGAGAGTACACTACTGCAAACGCCCGCAAGCTCATTGACGAAGTGAGTCCATCGCCAGCTCTGAATTGCAAAAAAGTGAAGTTTACTTGTTAATGATGCGATCCTTTAAATCTCTCAAACACACAGGTGTGTCATACAGACAGCTCAGTACACTCTTTACTTCTGTTGGCGGCTTTATTTGATTTTAGATTATACAGTATTTAATAATGTACAACAGAATGTATACAATAGAGTAGCTTAGCATGAGTCACAGTTCAGTTCAGTGAACAGCTCATTTACAGCTCATCTCTCCGCTCTCTGTGACATCACACAGATCCAAGAGCAGAAAGCTGAGATGAATGGAGTGTTCTGAGCTTTTGGGCATCGAGGATTGCTATTCATACACACTGAGCTGATTATTAGAACCTCTAGCTATGGACTCTCGCCATCGGCACCTGTCCTCAGGTAGATAAAATGAGTTGCCGAAGGCCGTAAAGCTGAGCAAACAAAGGCATGTACGATGAACCCGCTCGGTCACGCTCCTGACACAGACTTGCTTCCTCGTCTCAGAAATGTTTTTACCGCTCTGAATTCTTTCAGTTCCGGCTCTTGAGGTTGACAACAAGGTGATGACTCAGTCCTCCATGCTCTGCTCGCTATGTTGAAACTTGTGTGACTCCAGCACTCAGGCATGCGGGACATGCTCTGAATCTGAGCATGCTCACTGACGGTTCTTTAAAGTGTCACTGCGAACTTTAACCTCTTTAACCTCTCTCCGATGTGGTCAGGCGACCGCTAAAGGCTTTGTGCTGATCCAGACGAAAGAAGTGTCGATGCGGCCGGAAGACGTGAAGCGAGTGTTTCAGAGGGACGCGGATGACCTCACGGAGTGGATCACCAAAGGTAAACTCGCTCCTTCCTCACTGATCAGCTGATCAGGAGCTCTTTCGTACTGACCAGAGGGTGTGTGTCAGTCAGTGTGTGATATTTGTAATCACACTCTCATTCATTTATTACATATTTGGGGGACAGCAAGTAAAACACCTGAACAGATACAGCCATTTACGTTAAGTTGTATTATAACACTCCTGGTCATAAACTGTATGTAAAAGATTGACATGACTTCAGTGATGTCACCTGGTGGTTTTGGACTGCACATTTTAGCATCTAAAGGTTACTGTTGTTTCTACAACTGAGAGGGTGGAGCTAATGCTTGTCCACAGACTGCACAAGTATATCAGTCTGACATAGATACCTGCTAATCAGTAACATCCAATCGAAATTCTGTAATTTCACTTAGCAAAGTTGGAGTTCAGCCTTGTTGGACGCTCTGTCACTACTGTGACCTCACAGCAGCCATGTTATTGGTCACGTGATGGCAAATAAAAATGCTCCAAAAGGTTCCAAAAGCACAATCACAGTCCACAGGTCCAGTTCAGGTGAAGCTAGCAGACAGCTATCAGTCAAAGAGGCTATGCATCTAACAATGCAGACAGGCGACTTATAAAAACAATTTTTTATGAAGGGGGGAGTTATGTTTGTATCAGGCTGACTCACAGGTGGAGATGGGGCGGTGGTGCTGTCGGTGTCCTAAAGGTTTGACTGTCGTGTTTTCCCCGAAGGCCCCGTCATTGCCCTTGAGATGAACGGGGACGGAGTTGTTGAAGCATGCAAGAACATTGCCAGTGAGGTGTTCAGCAGGACGAAGGTGAGCGCAGCGCGGTCCCGGCCCGATCCTTATGGCTTCACTCTGCGTTTTCGAAGATGTCACATTTACTGCTATTTTTTTGTCTTGCAGCTTTTTGTCTCCGACAACAAAAACACGTCGTCTCAAGACGTCGACAACTTCTTCAATTTCGCCGACATGCAGATGGGCTTGTAGGTGATGTGATGTCACGGTGACTCCGCCCTCCACGCCATCCAGCTCAGACTAAACTGATGGTCCTTCTGTCCTTAAAGAGTAGAGGAGGTGAAGGAGCGCGTGATGAGCTTGGGTCAGGAACCCCGCTGCACCTTCATTGCTCATAGCTGTGAATATTTATATCGCTCCGAATGTACTCGGTGATGTTGCTTCATTGTGAATGTAGCTCTGTGCTGAACCTGTAACCTGACTGTAGTTCAAGCTGCTGCACGAGGGATGCTCGCGCTGCCCGAAAGAGCCAAGCCCTCTTTGTGTGTCTGACCAGGATCTGGGTGTGTTTGAGTCTGTGTTAGAGAGAGGGAGGGGAGTGTGAGCGAGAGGGAGGGGAGTGTGAGCGAGAGGGAGGGGAGTGTGAGAGAGAGGGAGTGTGTGAGTGATTCACATGACAGACTCATGTGTGTATCTGATGTATTGATGATTGTTAGGCCAAAGCTGGACTGATTAAGTGATCGCTGTGTGAACAGTAGCTGTGTTTCTGATGTAGGCACTTCTGTGTGATCGTTTTTTAAAGAACAACATTTGTAATATTTGTTTTATACTCTGCTGATGTTTTTATATAGGAACATGAAGGGTTTCAATCCCGATGTTTAGTAAAAGATTCATTATGTGTGGCGTCTTTTGTACTCCGAGAATAAAACAACTTTGTTTCAGGCCGAGCTGACAGACTGGGTGATCCTGTTGTGGTCAATGATCGTCTCAAGCCATCAGCACACACTCTGTGCAGTCAACTTTACACAAACACAGCGTCTCACAGTGAATAAGGGAAGCTCTCTTCTTCCTCTTTCTCAGATCACCAACATGTGTCCATGACGAGCTTTAAAGGTCACAAAAAGCTAAAGTGTGTCGGGTTGTTTGTGATCAGGTCCCGTTAGGCGATCACAGGAAGGTCAGAAATGAGTGGGAGGTTATGATCATGCTTCTGTCCTCATTAACTCAGTGTCCAGCGTTCTGGCTTAGTGTGGTGCGTTACTACTCCCTGACTGTGATGTAGGGACATCACCTGTGTTTGCACACTTGTTATACCTGTGCTGCAAGGCTGTAGTCTGTAAAGTAATGTTGTTATAAAAATCAGATTACAAGCTGAAAGATCTTGTTTTCAACCCTTCTTTTCAGTGTAAGTCCGCTTCTGCTGATGGAGGTCAGGGCTTAGAGCATGTTCTCTTTTTGTGTGTGTGTGTGAGTGTCAGTCTAAAGAAGTCAGAGGTCAGTGTTTATACCACGCCTTGCTTTAATGACCATCTTCTTTTCCTGGACTTTATCAGTTCTGATGTGCTTCAGGGAGATTTCTTCTGATGTCTGAAACTTTCTGCACATTCAAAACACACTCACTGGTCACTTTATTAGGTACAAGTAGTACCAGGTTGGACAGTCTGCTAGGAACATGCTTCACATGTTCCACCGCAACGAGGCGTTTCCTCCCAGAGCACTGCTGCTCACTCAATACTTTCTCTGTAAACTCCAACCACTTGGTTGGTGGGAAAATCCTAGAAACACTCACAGTCGCTGAGGTCACCTTTCTTCATTGCTCTGATGCTCACTTTAAACTTCGGCAGCTCTTCTTCATCAGGTCTATATGCATAAATGCACCGAGCTGATAAGATACATGTGTTAAAGGGAAGATAAATAGGTGTAGCTAATGAAGTGGCCAGTGAGAATACTTACACACGGTGTC